TTTATAAGAACCAGTAAGATGTGTATAAGAGACAGTATATATATAACAATAACTTATATAGCTCCTTTCACAATCCGCTGATTTTACAAGCGATTATACAAGACGCTGGCATCATTATTTCCCTGGTCACTGGATACTGAATTGGCAGATCCGCACATTGTGCAACTTTTCTCTGCTCCCTGGGGAGTATCCCTGGTCATTGCTGCTTGAAGCGCCGCACGACCTATACTGGTTCAAGAATAGTAATCCCACCCTTCCAGGTACCCACTTATACTCTTGGGTGGAGAGGGGAAAATGTAGTAGAGTGCCTTGCCCAAGGACACAAGCAATGCGATGAGCGTCGGTCTCGAACTCCCGATCTCACGATCAGAAGCCCAACACCTTACACGCTGCGCCACACGCTCCTACTTGTGGCGCACGTAGAAGTACTAATACTATTATTACAATATTATAAAGTAGAATTGCACATAATAATTATAATAATAGGGTAATTATTATTATTAATTTTTAATTAGGCCTAATAATAATTCCATGTAGAATAGTAGTAGTAGTAATAATTATATTAATAATGATAATTATTAATATAATTATTACTACTACTACTATTAATAATTATATTAATGATGATAATGTTATTAGACCTATAGGCCTCAATGTCATTATTCATGCCATTATTCTGTATTATACACGATGTTTTCAGATGGCACGCACAACAAAAACAAAGATAGGGCCTACTTGTATTATGCCATAAGTTCTTGCATATAGGGCTGAAGCACAGTATGAACTACTTCACATCTTCGTCAATAAAGAAGGCTAACAACAGAAACAGTTTGAAAACACAAACGAATGATCACGAAAGTATAAATGAACAGTAACTTGCAACTCATGGTCGGAGTACATTTGCGGAAGCATTATTATCAAAATCGTTTGGCTGATATGGGAACACCCTTCAATTAATGTTCGATTAAGTCTATGTCAATCAACATGCAATGACTAAATACAAATCGAGGGAAATGTGTGGCTTCCTTTACAGCTTAAAAAGAACATGAACGAAATGGTATTCGTATAATATTTCGTGGTTCCTATAACCTAGAAAATCCATCTGCTTTCTTTTTAGAAAACACTATCATAATAATTGTATTCAGTAGGTCTAATTTAAAAAATGTTATAAGAACACATTAAAAGAAAACTGAAATTAGGAACAAAATAAGAACAAATTTAGGCTGAGGTAAAATGTCAAGTGAGGTTTTTATTTAAGTCTATCTGTACCTTATTTGTAAGTGTGACTATGTAATACCCTCTATAATACAGTACAGTAATAATATACTGCTATATAGGCGTAATGTTCAAAAAGTGTAAAAATAAGAACAAAATAAGTACATTTTGAGCCTGTAATCGCCAAAAAAGCAAAAACACTGAGTCTGGGTAAAATTTTACTGGTTCTTTAAAAAAAAGTGAATTGCGTTAGATTGAACCAGTAAAATTGTTCCCAGGCTCAGCATTCTCAATTTTGGTCAATTTCAAGTACGGTATTTATTTTATTTTTATAATACAGGTATCGAACACATTTTTGTCCTAACAAACATTGTCCTACCACTACAGTATCGAAAGACGAAGAATTATAATTGTGCGCGTACAATTCACACACAACTCCAGCGACACCATAACAGGCTATAACACTGAACAGCCCCTTGACGGACTTCTAAAAAGTGCAGTTCTTGACTTGATTAAAACTAGTTTCATAACATGGAGTCACTGTTGCGTGTGTCCGGTTAATACAACGTAAGTTTTTAATGTGCTGCTGAATCATATTAAGTTCTATAATTTTAAGAAATTGTAGGGCTACAAAATGTAGTACCGTATTCGCATAAACCATGTGTATCTGTTTGTGCAATAATTACCTTACTTACGCGTTGGAATAATGTCATATAAGACTTGGGGTCTATTTTTAGCTCCAGTGCCATGTGGTGGTAATTTTTTTCGCCAATTTAAAGTATTGTTTGTTTTTCTGAAAAAAAAAATAAAAGCTTATAAAAAAATAGACGTTGGCTATTTATGAATGGACAATTAAAATTAGAAGTTTTGTGGGTTTTCCATATTTTACCAAAGATAACAAGAATGGATGGGAAAACTGACCTTGGAAACCTCTGCAAAGTCATGTGTCGTTATGATGACATCTACCACGACTGTTTATAAATACTTTATTATGGTGGTATAGCGAATTGCTTTTTTTCTGGTTTACATTTTTTCTAAAATATATCTAGGATTGTAAACCAGACCCCATCAACATGACGATAATAATTACAGTTTTTTTTTTTTTTATAAGAACCAGTACAATTTTTCCCAGGCTCAGTGTTCTTATTTTTTGGCCGATTTCAGGCTCAAAATGTTCTTAATTTGTTCTTATTTTACACACTTTTCAAACATAGAAAATTATTATTGTACAGCAAAAATGGGCCCTGAAAAAATGCCCTGGAAAATTTGCCCCAGAAAAAAGGCCTGGTACAAATGGCCCCAAATGACAGTAGGCCTTCACCTGATTATAGGGGGTATTACATAGTCACACATACATTACTGCACATAAGGTACAGATATCATTTTTTTTTTTGGTTTTTCAAAAACCTCATTTGACATTTTACCTCAGCCTCAATTTGTTCTTATTTTGTTCTTAATTTTTAAGATATTTCAGCCTCAGTGTTCTTATAAAATGTGTTCTTATAAAAAAAAAAGGTGTATAATACGAAATAAGAAGAAAATCAAAATTATAGTATTTGGGATTTGACCGGGACCTCCGCCATACTGTTCAGAAGTTCTAACTGATGGGGTCCAGTGGGATACGAAAGATATCCCTATCGACGTAACGATGACAAAATATTAAAGTCAAACGAATCAAATTGGACCCCTCAAGATTTAAACACGAGACCGCTACATGCCATATTGATGATCTGACAGCCTGGGGCCTAGTAGAATTAAAGCCATATCCCCATCGTCGGATATAAAATTATATAATCAGATCAACTTGGACCCCTTCTGCATTTGGACAACCTCCAATCCCACTAGATCATGGGCGAGGTCTAATGGGGTTGGAGCCATTCCATCAATGTAAAGATGGCACAATACGAAACAGGAGGAAAAATCAAATTCGATCCCCAACAAAAATGAGAATTTATCAAAAATCTATAGATGATAACATGGATCGAGTTTTATAAAAAAAAAAGTGCGACAGAGCTTATTACAAAGTGCGACAGCTCATTTTATTACAAAGTGCGACATACAGTTATTACAAAGTGCGACAGCTCGGTTATTACAAAGTGCGACAGACTTTATTACAAAGTGCGACAGTCATTACAAAGTGCGACGATTATTACAAAGTGCGACGCAACCGACGCTGCTCTCTATTATAAAGCTCCCGGAACATCAGCTTACAGTAGAGTAGGCCTACTAGCATAATTACCAAAAGTATCGCATCGTGCGGGACGGTCCCGCACATTAAAAAGTTATTTTGGATGAAACGCATTTTGCAGAAACACACGCGTGATCATAAATTCGTCACGCATTTAGCACAACTCTATGCGTGATAACGAATTATCACGAATTCAGGGAAAAATGTATTGAAAATTAGAAGAAATTGGTTTTATTAGGAATATAAAAACGATTATGCAGTGTAGCTTGAGTCATTAGAGAGCTTTCGTTATCTCGTTGGAGAATCAATTTACCGAAAAACTTTCTCTTTGCCGACCAAAACAACCCAGCCAACCACGCACTTAGTAGAATCTAAGTATAGTCGCGTGCGGTCTTTCGCGTTCATTGTCACAACCAACCGTTGTTGTGACTGTAACCAAAGCCCCACCGGGGTTCCGCTCATGGACCCCGGGCCCTTGTCCCCTCCACCCACTGGTGTAGTCACGCAATTCAAATCTCTCAGGTCGGTAACTATGTTAGGTTCGTTACTTTTTTTGGCCTATCAGGATTGAAACCTGATAAAAATAGATTGAAATTGATCTAATTCAAGATGAAAGGCCTAACGTATTCTTACCTTCCCTGTATACACTCGTAGTGTTTCATGACCATCTTGATTAGCTCTAGTTTATGGGAAATTCATTCTGGAAATTGCGGCTTACAGTAGGTGTTATGTCCAAGGGCAACACCTTGTTTGACCATCATTATTCCATTTAATTGGTATATCAACGCCAATCAAACAATTTCTTAAAAGGAAGTTGGTAAGTAGGGAAAGGTAATGGTTGTATTAACTGTAAAAGCTGAAGAAAGCTTTGCCTATTTTTATTTATTTATTTGCTTTTTCACTTTTGAGAATTTTTACCATTTTTCCAGTAAAATATAAATATATATTCTCTATTTTTTGGACATTTTGTGCCTTATTTAAGATCATTCTACAAAAACAGGTTTAACACGATTCTGGTGATTTCAATTTAAAAAGCTATAGCAGTGCATCATCATTTTATATCAAAACTGTCCTTATTCTACACGTCTGTTCCTGAGCCTTCGTAAACGTTTAACGTCATGGATAGGCCTATTAATGTTTACAGTACACATAATGCTTCTTGCGTACTGAACCTTAGGTTCACATTTACCGGTTTCTAGTAAAATTGACAACCCCCAACTTATAAGTTACTGGTATTCATTATTCTAATTGAACTTTAAGGGTTTCTTCCAAGATTTTATTAGTCATCATACCGTGTCGCTAGCCCTTTTAATTTAATTTAATTTACGCTCTTTATTAGTTGATGATATTTAGAATTAATGAACATAACCCATCCACTGGCATGTGATTCCAAAATGAAAACACTATGGAACCAGTGAGCTCACAATCGCATTAAAAAAATTGCTGTATTTTATAGGCCCTAGAAATATAATTGTATGAATACATACTGATAGGAAGGGCTGGCGACACGGCGCAGGGCCTTCCGCAGCCCTTTCATTTAGCCCCGCCCACAAAGATTGTACTAAAACAACGATTGGCGGACACGTTACTCAGTATATTACAGATCGAGGAGAGCATTGGAGCTTGTAGACATTGCAAATTGTGCGGGAATGAAATGACTACTACAGTACTTAATCAATTTCTATCAAACAGTTTCTTGTGGATTATTATGATTTATAAAAATTACTTCATCGTCTGTATGTTCAGCATTTTATGTATGGTAAGTTATTTTGTTTGTATCAGTAGGGCCTGGATAGTGTGTACTATATATAGACATTATTCTACTATCCAAGTATAAGTTTTCGAGTTGTATTGTATATAAGTAGTACTTAATAATAATAATAATATAAGTAAAGGTTCCCATAACTATTCTCATATTTCGGAAATAAGCATCAGTGGAAACATATGCCCTGCCATATCGGGATTATTAAGCTATATTATTGAAATACTTGATCGTCTGTGATCGACAAATAACAGACATAGGCCTACAGTTAGGCTTATATCTTTAGCGTCTTCCATAGAATAGTGATCCAAAGCGGCTTATTGTTGGTTTATTTGGGGGATAATTCTCATCCAACAGGAACTCTCCCCTGACGCGATGGAAGATAGGATGCTCCAATCAGGGAGATGTAAAACATTTCCCTGCTTTATTTCTTAATGTCAGTGTTGATGGAGGAAAATGATTAGAGTTTTACTCCAATTCGAACTCTGCAACTTCTGAAAGTGAATTTGCGAATGCAAGCAACAACTAATCTACAGCTACACTCCATTGTTACAAAATTTAAAGCATTTGTCAGTTGCGTATAGGCCTATATGAGAGTCTGTCGTGTATGAACGCTGGCAAGCGTTACGCTAATAAGGACCATGGCATAGCAGCTGGACAGATAATAAAACAAGATGAACAAAAAAACGTATAATTAATAAACCGTGAGGTTCCGATCGATATAACACTTTACCAATATTAACAGTAGGATGTATTTGCCTAACACTAACCCAAAGCACATGCAGCAGTAATACTATACATTATACATACATTTTAAATTGCTTTGATAATTGCGTGTTTAGACTTTGTATAAAATGAACTTAAACTCGAATGTCGGTGTTCCGTAACCCAGAAGTTTAGAAACTCTAACCCGGACATTTCGAAGCCTGATTTTCTTTTTGCTATGTCTAGCTACCGTAGGTTAGAAAATGTCCTCGTCAGAGTTACGAGAAGTTGTGGGTTACGAAATGTCCGCCACTTGCTTAGAATACATGCATGTTACTGTAGGCCCTATTAGAATTACTAAACTGTACAATAACATTGTAAAATATTATTATTATTATTATTATTACATGACTGTTCAACACCGGCATATCTAGGGGATGCGCAGGGGTGGGGCGCACGCCCCCAAAAAATTACTTGTAAGTAGTTAAAATCACCTTATTTTGCGCCCCCAACAGCACCCCCATTTCAAGGCTTTCAAAATACATGTAAATCAGGCATATGATATTAGTTACAATTACTACAAAATTCCAATTGGGTACGCCGTCTAACACGCGTTTATATCCTCTCTAGGGATAATTAGTTTAAACCTGTAGTAGGTTTATGGGACGATGTGAATGCCCTTAGTAATATTGTACAAACATTCCATGCACTGGTGTCAGTATAGTAATGTACGCCGAAAAGCAGAGTAAACAGCCACTGATAAACAAGCCCTATTGTAAATAATTCTAGAACTAATGGTTCTACAACAATGTTTTATTGCTAGTAAATTTACATTTCTTTTCATGGATATATATATATATA